GAAGCCGGAAGGAGATTCTGGTAGATTCCTTCCCCCCCCCCCTCCAAGTTTTGTAACAGCCTTTCCTTATATCACTTTAGGCTCTGAAGAGCTCTTTCTGTTACCCTGTCTCTGCCTAGGAATAATACCTGCCTTTTACATCTACATCCCATGTTTTTAGTGCTTCCCTTGGAGGTAGCATTGTGGAGTGATGCTTGCTATTAAGTGTTTGCTGGAGAAATCCTGGGCAGAGATGACAGTGAAGTTCTGGAGTGCAGCAGGGCCCTTGGAACTCTGCCTCCCACATCTTCACACCTAGTCTCAAGTTAGACAGGCTTTGGACACCTTAAATCACTTCTTGGGCAGTGACTGATCCTCTGGCACTGCTTCAGCTGCTGCAGTCCTGTACTTAATATGCCATTGATTTCTTTTGGCTGCGTGTTCCTGGATGTGAAAATCGGCTTGGAATACCAGTAAAAACGTACCTACAAAGAGCAGATATTCTTACAGACTATTTAAGAATAAATATTTAACATCTCTCTGGCAGAGTTGTCAAGTTCACCCCCAGGACCGTACCACCAGGAGCCCTATGTTTGTAAGGCAGAGGAGCGCTTTAAATCGCCACCTATTCTTCCCCCCCACCTGTTGCAGGTCATCCTGAATAAGGACACAGGCATTTCTGTGAGTACTTTAGTTTGTTTTGCTGAATAAGGGCCTTGAGGGTGTGAACAGATGGGCGAAAATCTGGGTACAGACAGGGGACAGGCAATGAAGAAACTTAGAATGGTTGCTGTGTTGGTAAATTTCTTATTACAAATGTCCAGGTGGATCCATCCAAAGTAAATTTATTTTTCTATTTAACTCTCTACAAAATTGAAAGGAAAACTAGATTGATACTTTACTCCCAGAAACCCTAATCTTCCCACTGCAACACTGTTAAAATGTCAGAAGCACATAAGAAATAATTGAGGTCTGTTTCACCATGGCATTGAGGATGCTGAGGGTTTCACCCTGGAGGGATCTTGGATTGTTCTGAAACTTCGTCTGCATTTGTTGATGGGCTCAGTGTAAGAAGCAGCGTGATGTATTTGAGGGTATGGCTAGTTACAGACGGTGTTTATCATCCATCAGCTGTGATGAGTAAACCGTGAGTTCTGTTATTTTCACACTGTCTCACTTTCTCTTTTTTCCAGTGCGATCCTGCTCTGCTCCCTGAACCCAACCATGTCATGTTGAACCACCTCTACGCACTTTCTATCAAGGTGAGAGGCCAGGGCATGTTCTTCACACTTGCAGCTTTTAGATAACCATGTAATATGCTCACTTGTTTTCCATCTCCTGTAGGATGGAGTGATGGTGCTTAGTGCTACACATCGTTACAAGAAGAAATACGTGACTACTTTGCTGTACAAGCCAATATGAATGTCACGGTAGTTTGTGACCAATTGTTCTGGGCCAGTGCAGTCTCAGAAAAAAATTCTCCTCTTAACCAAATGTACTCCTGCTCTGTGCTGTAGCAAACGAACTCTGATTTCATATTGTTTCTGAGACTTCCAAGTTCTCCTATATTTGCCTTATTTTCCCAGTCCCACCTTGGAAGTTCTTGGAGATGGCAGTTTCATGGCAACTAGAGAGGTGGCAAAGGTGTCAGTGCCCATTGTCAGCTCAGTTAAAAAGCCACCAAGTTAATTAGGCTGAAAAATGTGAGGGCAGCATCAGATTAAAGACCTTTAGCAGTGAGGCAGACTAAGAAAGAAACAAGCCAGCCCAAAGTCTAGAAAGTTCAGGATTCTTGTGGAATCCGATTTGACTTCAACACTTGGCAAAAACAAGCCCATTGCTACTTTCGTAATTCATCAAACACACAATTATTTCAGTAGCAAGTTCCAAACTTGCATGGCTGAAATAAGTGTGAATATTGATGATCTTTTTGTAGCAGCCTTTCTAGGCAAAAATCAGCAACACAATTACCAACAAGCTCGCTTTTATTTTACGGTAGACTGGGATGCACTGTTTCTACTGTGAATAGCTCTGTAGTTTTTCTCTTCATGAGAACTGAAATACAACTTTTCCCCTGTGGAATTTCCAGTAAAGACAATTGTTTTTAATGGCTGGATTTCTCTGTAAATCATAAATGTGTCTTGCAGCAATCTGCTTTTGGAAACCAATTTCTCTTGCTGTCACTGATAAGGACTTCCTTAAGCTGGGATAGGTAGCTGTAACGAAATGGAGGTATTCAATTAAGGGATTAGCTCTTCAGTAACAGCCTGAGGGTGACTGTACGTCACCTGTATCGCAGCGGCCAAACTTGCCCCTTGGTGTAAGCAGTTGCAGCGTGCTGGATACCGCAGCACTGCACCCTTTTGTGCCCAGCTAGAGCTGGGCCTCCGCTCCAGGTTGCAGCCTTGACTGTGGGTATAAAATCCCCGGTGCTTCTGCTGCCAGTGCTGTTGGGGATCTCTGCAACTTTTTAGTCTGTTTATGTTTTCTAAATAATTATAGTAACGCCAGGTTGCCCGTACTTGGTACTCACAGCCTGTTTTATCCCAAAATAAATGCAACATTAATGCAAGACTGCCTGCCAGCGTGCCTCGGGCCTGCCCTGGAGGAGCCAGCTCAGGAGGAGACCCACTGGGTCCTTTACTCTGTTGGTGTTTTGGTGCCTGAGAATGCCAGTGAGTGTGCCAATGACAGCCAGCCCCCGTCCGGCTGTGGGGCACATTGCACAAATCAGGAAGGTGCTTGAGAGGGGACAAAAGCTGCAGCAGCCAGCGTTCGGTGGAACCAGCCACAGTGGAAGGGTGGTTTCCCATCCTCGGATCTGTTCACTAGCCTCGTTGCAATATCCTGAGTAGCTCAGTAGATCTGGGTATAGTGCAATGGTTTTCTCTGAAAACTTTCTTCATTCTGTGCTATGGATAGTAGTTGATATTCTGAAATATGGAATTGCTTTTGTTTTCAGCCTCTTTAGAAACAAATAAAATATTTTCAAGAAAAGTGGGTGACTTGCTGTGTTATTATCCATCCCATTTTGCTAACCTCAGCTTCCTTGAGTTGTTATTTTTTTATAACCTGTGATTGCCTGATTGCAGTTTTATGCCTTGGGGAATTGTGCAAGCTTTTCATTCTTAGATGCAGTTTGAAACACTTTGTCCCCTTGCAGTTAATCAGTGAAGAAGACGAGGGAGGTGTTAGTGTCTGTTTGCGATGTAAAGTTTACAGGAAGAACAAGAGTCCAATTACTTAGAAGCTCCAGCGATCACTTCCTTAACGCTGAAAAACTTGGTATTGGCCTCAAGCCTCCTGTTGCCTTAAGCCTCCCTTGGGCTTCTCTTTGTTCCAGCCAGCCCCTCTTTGAGCAGACAAGCCTTTCTCCTTGTCAGTGTGTAACTGCAGGTTGGCTGTGGTTTATATGGTGTCACAGGCATGCGTATGGCACTGGATTAGGCTGGGTAGAAGGACAGCCTGCACCCTCCATCATATTTGTTTGTTAGCACCAGAAAAAGCTGATGTGCGAGGAGGTGAGGGACAAGGCTGTGGAACGTGTGATCAGTGCTAGTGCCCGCAGAGCAGCATGTACTGCGGGGAGGTGGCGGCTCCTGTCAGCCTGAGATGTGGTTATGATGTTGGGGTAATAAAAAAGACAGGGGAGAGCAGGTTGGAACAGGATTGCCTTTGGTTGAAATGTACACTCAGTCAAAAGCACCGAGTTTAAATGCAGGAGTGTGTGCTGGTAGCTGAATGTGTGACCACAGCCAGGCTTTGTCAGTTCCCTGCCTGATGATGCCATCGTTAAATAATGACAGTGTCAACAAAGGTGTGCTCGCGCCTGATGTCTTGTAGCAAGAGCGCGCTACTGCACAGCCCCGGGGGGTGGTGGGTCTCATGCTGTGCTCTGCTGTTGGCATCCTCTGTTCTGGTGGTCCTGGTCTGCTGCTACCTGAGCTGTGTGCTAAAAGAAAAGAGAAGCTTGGAGGTAGCGTAGTAAATTTGTGGTGTTTGGGGTTTTTTGTTTTTTTTTTTTCAGTTGCAAACCAAAGTTTTTTTACAAGTCAAAGACTAAAGAAGCAGAAACACGGAAAAGAAAGGAAGGTGACAGTATGCAGGACTTACTTAACGATTTTTATGGTTTGGTGGGGTTTTTATTTTTTGGTTTTTTGGTGTTTTTTTTTTTTTTTTGGGGGGTTTTTTGGTTTTTTTTTTTTTTTTTTTGGGGGGGGTGGGTGTTGTGTGGGATTTTTTTAAATGGCCTCAATCTCATTGGTTCTTGCTAAACGCTGTGGGGGGGTTTTTTTTGGGTGTTTTGTTTTTGTTTCCCAATTACACTCACTGCAGGCTTTTCATTGGGCAGAACCACAGGACAAACGCACATATTTTATAGACAGTGGTTTTTGTTTTGTGGTGGGGCCCTGTCCCCCACGCCCACCGCCTTTTT